AGGAGAAAATGCAGTATTGTGATAAAGGGCGTAAGAATTACTTTAAAATTTGCGATTTATCGAACATAAACCTCGCACGGATGAAAATAAAGAAGTGTATGCGACGTAGGAAAATTTTAGTCGATCAAATGATCGACTAAGTAAAGGTGCTTGTGTGCTAATGAACTCTGTCAAAACTTTCGTTCCTAAACTGAGCTAGTGAGCTAGGTATTGTGGTTCCAAATTGCAAAATAAAGTTCAATTAGGTATTGTGTGTGTGTGTGTGTGTTTGTGGGGGGGGNGGGGGGGGGGGGGGGGGTTTAGAAAGAAGTTAAATTATACATTATCTAAAACTTCAATATAAAACATTATTTTCTTCGAGGGGAGGGGAGGGAGATTCACATCCTTTGCATGTATTTAAAGTGTTCATCTTGTCCATATCTTTCTCTCTGGAAAACCTTCAAGGTAATCTACATCGCGGTGACATTTACTCGCCCACGAAAACTCAGCTCTCGAGGAAGAAAATTGAAAAGGAGGAGTGAAACATCTCAACTTGTTAGGACAGTAGGGGAAATCGTTTATGCAATCCATGGAACATTGAATAAAGAAGGTCTCTCTGCGCTGTTTCACACAAGGTCTGGAGTTATCGTGAAGTTTTGGCGCTGAAGATCCACCTTCAAATGTTAAGTTGGACAACATTTTGCAATGAGGAGTTACCGATTACGGCTCATTCTAGAAACATCATACGTATCATTAGCTTTCCCGCGTGGATAGATATTTTTATGAATGAGCTTGAAATTATAGTTCTTAATTGTAAAATGTAGGTAGCCTAAATCTATAATGACTGATTCCACGAGACATTTGGTTTGAAATGCACGAAATTTTTACTTACTAGTAAGTAAGCACGTACTTAATGAATTTTACTTGTCCCAGTGGCATAGCTAGTAATTTTTAAGGATTTCTACTCGTAAATCTGCTGTATAAAAACTGGTAAAAAAGTCACAAAAAGTCTGAGTAAAAAAATTTTCCAGAAAAAATCCGTGACTGAGAGGAAGTATGAAGTAAATACGATTGTTTACTTATTTTACTGGTAAAATATACTGCATGGTATTTTCTTTTTGGTCTCCTTGATAGCTTTCTATGAGTTCTTCTAATTTTTCTTTGGTTTTTACGTTTCGTGTTCGGTACAAGGGGCAACAAAGACATATTATCTCAATGGGAAACCTTCAAACTTTTACTTCAATTACGGGCAAGAGATCACGTAAATAGGAGCAGATTTCAAAATGACATTGTAATAGGTGGGTAAGTTTGAAAAAACTGGTAGGTTACGCTTAGTTGTGACTGATCATCGCAAAATAACAAAATATTTGACGGAAAAAACCAGAAGCACTGCAGCTAAAAGAGTAATAATCGTAAACTTAAAATTAGAAAGTCAAAACAAGAAAATGTGTTTGCTGACAGAATTACCTACACTAAAAACAAAGTAGGTACTTAAAGGTAGAGAGGTAACTAAATAAACGAATGACTGCACTTATACAAAAGAATGTCTGGTGACTTTGGAACTGACTAGGTACGATTAACATTTATGGTTAACATCTTATCATATACCTATAGCTCTGTTCTAAATTCGAAACGGAAGCGCCATTTCAGGTGAGTTTTGCGGAGGACAGGGAATTCATTATTTTATGAACGACATAACTTCTACAGAAGGAGCGAATCGAGGACTAAGTCATAGAATGGCATCATTTAGATTTTTGGTAGGAGCGACTTTCTTGATATTTTCCGGATTCTCCTGATATCATCAAATTTCCTCGTATTTTTCGGTTTCTACTAAAGGTGAGCACTTTGTCCAAGGCCTCCTCCCTTGAAATGGCGCCCCAATCTCTTATCACAGAGCCCGCCACGAGCGTGATTTGGGCGCTGTTAGACGGTAGTGATGAGGGTTTTGATCAATTTCCTTGAAAAATCGATTAAATCGTTTCGATATAATTAAGTTCGATTAATCGTATAAATTGATTTTTTCCTCCAAAATCGAAAATTCCGATTTTTGCTGCCAGAATATCTCAAATTGGCGAACGAGCCGATTTTCGGATCAAAATTTTGGCAAACTTCCCAGATATTTTCATTCTAGTTTTTCCTCTTACAGAATTCGAATTTTGAGCCTCCAGGTATAATTTCCGATTTGCTTTATTTGACTTTTCGGGAAATCTATTCTTTGTTACGATTTTAATCTATAAAATCGTATTTCCAAAAAAAATCGAATCGATTCGACTAATCGAATTTTTCGAAAAAATCCCCAATGCCTACTATATTTTGTCGCACGGTGGATCGAGTCAATTAGAAAGATCGAACATGAAATTGTGGACTAAAACTGAAAATTTTGATGTTTATTTCGTCACATTTAAAATATTAAAGGGTGCTTCTGGCAGAAAATGTTAAGAGGAAATCAATAGGACCACTTTTAGAACCTTAAAATTGTGTAAACACGCCTTGGTAAAAATTGGCGATAAGAGCTGCGTTTCAAAATACCATAGGAACTCTTATAGCCGGCTAAAGAAGGCTACAGAAAATCATATAGCTGGCTGTAGAATGCGGAGAGAATCACACGGCCGGGCTATACGAAGCGATAAAAAATTAAGCAGCCGGGCTATAGTTCCTATAGCCGGGCTTTACACTTTATCGCCTGGCTGTTGCTTTTTCGCCATCGATTATAAAAGGCTATAAGAAATTGTGTAGAAATTCGTGTGCTTTGGAAATCATTAAGTTTGATACGGAACCATCTTAATATTTACAAAACACACGTTATATTTTCCTTTAATACATATTTGTTTTCATCAATTAAAATGAGAATAATCCATACAGGATGTGCAAACATTTCAAAATCATGAGTTGAATAACACTGGCTCCGCCAGATTAAATATTAGAGCCTAACACAAAGCGGAGCGGCGACTCACTGGCGCCTACAAACCTAACAGGGATACTTCACGCATTGCGCAACGCGTGAAGTATCCCCGTTAGGTTTGTAGGCGCCAATGAGCGTTTCGCGCTGGCTGCCCGCCTACCGCACCGCAGCGTGCCACGGCGCTTGAAGCAACTATTTCACACCAGAGGTATTGCACAGTATCATACAAAACTGAAGGCGCTTTAATATATTAGGAATGGCAGGCATCCATCATAAGTACGGAGCTTTCCTAGCAAAATAAATCAAGATACTACGGCCCAAAAAGAGAGCAGTGGTCCAAAACCTCACCAAGTTCTAACATCCGTAATTAGTGACGTTTAGCATACACTTTATCGCCTGACTGTGAGTTGCTTAATTCGGCTATAAAAGGCTATAAGAAATTGTGTAGCCAGCTATAGAAGCTATTTGAAATCTTACAGCCGGCCGTAGGTCTATGGTATTTTGGAGCACAGATTCTACTGCCAATTGGACGTATTTCTACCAAACAGACCTATGTGGAGGTGAGAAATATGGGGTGTGCTCGTTAGTTCTCCTTGCGTAAGAGTGAATGAGAATAATAAAGCGCCAGTGACGTCAGCGGTAACGAAGCCGCTCGCCTCCGCCGCCCCCGTCCATCCGCCTCCGCATAAACTCATGAGCCCTGTCCACAAGGCTCTCTTGCCATGCCCGCGGCTCATGAGTTCCGCATTCAGTTGGCACATAGGTCTGTTTGGTAGAATGTAAAATCCCGCTTTTCCAATTCTTCAAAAGGAATCACGCCCACTTTTACATTGTTTCTTATGCAGCTTCGACGAGCACACCCCATATTTCTCACCTCCTTATGGGTCTGTTTGATAGAAATACGTCCAATTTTTACCAGGGCGGAGTTATGAGCTTTTAAAGTTTCCAAATTTTGTACGATCTCTCCTATTGACTCGATTCACTGTGCCACTGTGCGTCGCCTTCCTGACATTTAGGCGTGACTACACTGCGATGAATCCTGGCGTCCATATAACTGAATGCCTTCTCGGGCTCATCTCGAATGGAGATGTTGCATGTGTGAGGAATTTGCGATTTGACTATTGATTCTTTTGTAAAAGTTTGCGAGAAACACGATGGTGCCACTAGTTTTCTCTGAAATCAACTCCCAAGCTCAAAAAAAGCTCGCAAGTTGAGGCCAAAATGGCCGGGGATATCCCACGCTACCCTGAGGGTCCACATCTGCATCAAGACAAACTCTCCATCATGCAAAGATAGGGAGCAAATACATCGACAGGGCTGCCACTTTAATTGAGGACTCCAAAACTGAAAACACGGCATCACTGCTAATGTATTTGCTCCCTGTCTTTGCATGGAGAGTTTGTCCTGATGTAGAGGTGGACTCTCAGGATAGCGTGGGATATCCCTTCCATTTTGGCCTCGACTTGAGAGCTTTTTTTGAGCTTGGGAGTTGATTTCAGAGAAAACCAATGACACCATCGTGTTTCTCGCGAACTTTCACGAAAGAATCAACAGTCAGATCGCAAATTCCTCACACATGCAACATCTCCATTTGGCAAGGCCTGAAGGTTCCAACAGCGTTTTTCCTTAGGACGGCAGAATAGACCACTAGACAAGGCACGAATTCAAGCATTCTGATACATGTTTCTTAACCAGAATCTTACGTAGAACACGATTCGCGCAACGAAAATGACTGAAACTAACTCCTAACAAAGATATTAATCTTTTTATTTCACATTGGTTACGCGGATTCTGAACTGCCCACTGACAAGAAACTCAAAGCTCTACATGAGTCAAATCGCGCACTACAACAGTTTCAGCAAGCCTCTCAATCGAGCACTGTTAATTTTCCACCATGTGTTGTTCAAATTATAAGCAATTTGCTATAGCTGAGCCAAAGCGTCAAGATTGAGGTAGCCAGATTTGTACATCGCAGAGACTGTCATGATAACGTTTAGCGCGCGATGTGAATCACGGAGAGCATTGAGTTTTCATGAGCGGGTGGTTTGAATTCACGCATCAAGAATCATTAAATATCTTCGTAAGGAGTTAATTTCGGTAATTTTCCATGTGCGCATCGGGTTCTACGTGAAATTTTAGTTAAGAAACAAGTATCAGAATGCCTCAATTCGTACCTTGTCTAGTGGTCCATTGTAGTTAGGTCCTTCTGTGAGACAGCGAGGATTAGACGGCGATGTGGCCGAGGCGAGGGCTGGCCCTGAGGGCGTCTTCATCGTCGGAGGCGTCGGCGTCGACGTCGGTGGCGTCGGTGGCGGGCGTGAGGGCAAGGACGGAGAAGGGGGAGGGGCCCCGGGCGGCGTTCTCCTGGAGGGCGAGGTTGTGGACGCGGAGGAGGTGGCGCTTGAGGTGGGCCTTCCGGCTGAGGTTCACCCGGCAGATGGAGCACTGCGTGGAGCCGGTGTGCATCTTGCGGTGCTTGTAGAGGGAGTCCCGCCGGGAGAACCGCTTGTTGCACACCTCGCACACGTTCGCCCCCCGCCAAAGCTCCGGCTCCGACTCCGCTTCTGCACGCACACATACAAACACACGCTTTAGAACTCACGCCAGCACACGAACACGCCCAAACCGGGACAGCAAACACATACACACGCACACACATAGGAAAGGGAAGTGGGCTCAGAGACAAGAGACCCTCCACTGGCCTCCTAGCGACAGGTGGAAGCTCTTACTTTCGGGGTTTCAACAATTCCTTATGGACAATTACTAGGGAGCAACAGTCATCACCCTAGTTTAGGCTGTTGACTTACCTGCATGGTCGATGATGAGCTTCGGATGACGTCATGAGCCAAACAAGTTTCCCAAACGTCGGCCATTTTCGGCTTGTTTGCAAAACGAAACTGCCAACACGTTGTTGAACATCAACCATGTAGGTAAGTCAACAGTGGAGTGCTGAAGTCCCGAAAGTAAAAGCTTCCACCATGGCCAAGATACTAGTGGAGGGTCTCTTGTCTCTGAGTGGGCTACGTGTCGACCATCATGGTGTCAACGGGACGTTCACCTCCGTCGGATCCGTGATTTCATAAAATTTAATAAAATGCATAAAAATTTCATTGATTTTTTTTAAAAAACTTCTGCAATGTACTTCCCTATGCACTGGAAAAAAAACACATTGGATCTAGATTCCAGACTCTTAAAAACATCGACAAGAAAAAGTACTCTTGATTCAATCAGAATCTAGCTTAAATCCAGAATCAAGCCTCTTAATTTAAGCGGATTTCGTTTTGATTCGAGCAAAAATCCGATTGAATCAAGAGTTTTTTTTCTTGTCAATGTTTTTCGGAGTCTGGACTCTAGATCCAATGTATTTTTTTTTTCCAGTGTGCCATGAAACGCAAGAAGACGAAAAGAAATTGGACGTTTTTCTGCTAGACGGGCCAGAAACAGGTGGACGTATTTCTGTCAAACGAAACTAAGCGCCATAGGGGGAGGAAGGTAGAGGGGGGCTTGGATTGGTGGCGGAACCGGGCGTCGGGCTCTTTCCGTCCTATACTCGCAATGCTTTTCCATGGCGCTTAGTTCCGTTTGACAGAACGCGCTATCCGGCATTCTAAATTCCTCGAAAGGAATTCAAATTGACGCTTAGTTCCGATTGACAGAAATACGTCTAGGTGGGAAAGAAGATGTGTGCTCGTTAGTCGAGGGTCGTAAGAATTAATGAAATTAATGAATTAAAAAAATTAGAAGAAAAATATTTACAATTTCTCCGATAAATTCGTTTCATAATAAAGGAAATATGACGACGCCTGAAGGTTCATGCGGCGTTTTTCCTTAGCACGGCAGTATTCGTTGCCCCTCTGACGTAAGGGCGAATCTCAATTTCCACGCGAGCCCAGTTTGACTTATGAATTCACGCTTTCTGGGGCTCATTCGGAATACGAGATACGTCCTTACGTCAGAGGGGCGACGTAAAGTCCGGAAAGAGACTACAAAAGATGATAGCGAGCAAAGAAGGGAAAACTAGACGCAGCTTGCGTTTCAGGAGGGAAAGAATAGAGCATGATATAATATTCACTGATATATTCACGAGATTTTATTGTACTGTATAGTTTCGCCAATCCACTATAGAACTTATGTTTGTGTATTCAGGCTTGTGATGTTACAGATTTCCTGTCTCTTGTGTTTTGTCGAAAGAAGAAGTCATCGTTTTTGTTCCGAATTCCGTGCGATTCTAAACGAGTTTTATTGTTACGCTGGATGCAAATATTCGGGCTCCATGGATGTCCGTGTTGCATACGCACGGAAACGAAGGCGTTTTGACTTTAGAAACTTACCAAACCACCAGCGACGCACAGGAGATCGATTCAATTAGAGGTCAGACATGAAATTTTTGATGGAAACTGTCAACGTTGATGATTGTTCCGTCACTTGCCTAATTTCAAGGGGTGTTTCTAAAAGAAAATTTCACGAGGAAACCATTGCAATCACTTTTAGAACCTCAAAGTTTTGTATAAACGGAGTTATAATCGTTTAAAGTTTACGAATTTTGTCCGACTTCTCCTATTGACTCGACCCACTGTGCGGCGCTCCAAGGAACGAGTCAATGATAGGATTCGAACAAAATAAGGAAAAATTAAAGGCTCATGTCGAATGTAAAAAACGTTCAGGCTTTAAACGTGATTTCATAGACTTTCGCGTAAAATTTTCTTTAAGATGCACCCCATACAATTTATAATGTGAAGGATTCAACATCAAATTACTGCTGTTTCAGTGAAAAATTCCATATCCAGCCTCCTGAAAGACTAGTTTCTTTGTGCGTTGTGCTTTACTGAGAGATTCGAACATGACAGAGTGCCTTCAAATCTTCGTTTATACTTCGAGGACATCTCTTAGGCATGAATAGCTGCTCTACAAATGATGCCCGGCACATCGCGATATCAAAACTGAAGCTAAAAATATACTCACATCCTACATTTGTATGCAACTATATTCAAGCCTAAGAGATATCTTTGTTGTATAAACGAATCATTTAGACATTTCAGACATTTAGGACGATTTCAATCATTCAGACATTTAGGATCCTCGCAGTAAACTCGCGGTTAACGACGCGCAGCGGCTGAAGTGGTGAGTACCTGTGCAGTCAAAACGCCTTCACTACCGTGTGTATGCAACACGGACATCCATGGAGCCCGAATAGTTGCATCCCGGAGTTGAAGTGAAATTTTGATGGTGTTCATCGCAATTGACACTGACTGAGTTAATTTTTTTCTTCTTCTTACTGTTACTGACGGGGTATTTTATTTTTCGTTGACAGCATGATTGTTGACACCATATTGACTGCTAGTTTTGAATTTTCACAATTTGAACGACAGTTATTATCGACATGCTAAGTTTTTGAGTCTATTGATACCATGATTGTTAGTCCATGAAAATGGCCGCAAGTCACGCGCTTTAAAAAAACAAAAAAAAAAAAAAACCTTCAGTGAACATATTATTGGTAGTAACTATGACGTAGAAAGAAGCTTGACTTCAACAGTTCAACGTTGAGGGCATCTCCAAAGGCCCAGCTGACTGTGAAACTGAAATGCTGAAAATATGAATCCGATCCAAAAATGAGTGCAAGAATTTTGTAGTTGCACGTTTTAGCATGCAACGTTTCCGAAAAAACTTGCTGAGCACAGTGATAATAATCGGAAGGAGTTTTCTTTGTAATCCTTATGGAGAATCTTAAACAGAGTCGAAAAAACCACTGGGGTTCACTTAAAGAGTAATAAAACAGAAAAAAAACACGTTTCACACTGAAGGCTAAAGGTGCACTTTCAAAGAGAAACACCAACATTCGAAGAAAAAATTCACAAAATTATAAACACTAACAAGCTTTCTTCGGAAAGCGCGGATTCTCAATTGAATTGCAGCGATTTCACGTCAACGCGCATATTTAGAATAAAAACGCAGAAAATATAAAATATCAAACACAAAATTTGAAATTTGAGAGCTTCTACGGCTACCGACGTAATTTAGAGTGTCGGCGGGGCATTTACGACCGACATTAGTAACTTCCTGAAACACAATATTATAAATGTGCAAACAGAGTGACGAGTGCTTTACGTCAGATTTTCCGAGTCTAGATCATTTGTTATTTTCTTTATTGGAAAATATTAATAGAAATTCCTTGACACTGAACGAAAGGTATCACCGATAATTTCAACGAAACGTGATTGACATTTTCTAGATAACGTTTGAAAAAGTCGTTATCATTTTTCCAGTTTCATACGAGTTTCCATCTCGCTGACCGAAAAATAAACTATTTGAAGCATTGTATAATGCCGCTCAGTAAGTTATCTATACAGATTATAAAGAATTGACAACAGTCTGATGAAAATCTCAATCCTATTCAGAGATATTCGCACCAGTGGCGTGGCGTGAATTGCGATATATCGATTGTTATGCCATTTAAACCTATGGAAAAGGATCGATAAACAGGGTGTTCGCAGCGAACCCCTTAATAATCGATTCTTTACCATAGGTTTAAATGGCATAACAATCGATACATCGCAATTCACGCCACGCCTCTGATTCGCACGCACCAACAACGAATGGGCAACTCGACGACGCAACGGCCGGAAAACCGGTGATAAGGACGCGTTCACGGCGACGCGACGGGTGCACCCACAAGTGTTGTAATAGTGTTCTTAGTAAATTTTAGTAAATTTTAATAATAAACGATGTGACTTATAGTGTTTACCAAATCGAAGTCGAAGTGGCCTGATGATGATGTGTACGTAACATCGAAATAGCTATCGCCTAAAATCGGATAACAAGTTATCGGGAGAAAGGTAATATCATCAAACAAAATGCAGCCCGATAAAAAGAAGTAAATTAAAATCTTAAAAGATTATTGGGTTTAAAAATAATAAATAACAAATTGAAATAAGGCAATGTGAATGCACCTCGACTGATTCTCGTTGAAATTACGTTTTGCAATGGAAAGCGTTTACTTCTGCCGCCTTTTCACCTTAATTTCCAATTTTTAAGTTCATTTTTGTCATGTACCTAAGCTTACGTGTCAATTCAGTTTAAAACACACTTTTATTGAAATCACAAAAAAGTCACTCGGCTTTTTTATCCGTGATACCCTTCGAAAACGGTGATGTGACAAAAATACGTGCCTTAATTTGCGGTGCTGCCAACTCTCTTCGTGCTCACGTATTTTCATCAAAATGAGAAAAAAAAAAACCGAGGAAATGTCGCGCCAAGCACCTAGATTATACGAATCAGAAACGTCCTTTCGTATTCTGCCGTGCTAAGGAAGAACGCCGTATGGGCCTTCAGGCGTTGCCAAATTTATTTGAGTAGATCACGAATTTTCGGGAAAATTGTAAAATATTTTTCTTCCAATTTTTTTAGATAATTTTTCTCGCAATTTCACCTTGAGTTTCGGAAAATTTGAAGGAAAAATATTCATAGCTTTCCTACAAAATAAACATTTATCGAAGGAAATTTGGCAACTCTCGAATGTTCAAACGGCGTTTTTCCTTAGCACGGCAGTATTTCGCATCAGCGTATCGCGAAAGATCACGATCCTTTCGACGGGGGCTATAGTCTACTGGCAAACTGAATCAAAAATGAATACAAAGGGAAAATTGGCAAGCATGAGATGACGAAGTTGATCCATTAACAAAATAATGCGCATCTAAATCGTGATACAATCCAGTCAGAGACAAAAAGAAGGAATAAAAAGGGAACCTGAGTAAACACCCGAATAGGAAAAACACCATGTCGCTTTTCCGAAGGATGAGAGCCAAGTGCGTCCGGATAATGGACACTGAAAAAGAATCTCGGTGTATTTACTAAGAAAAGGGTAAAATTACCAAGAATTCAAGGTCCTATTTGATCCCAGTTTTTTCTTGGTAAGATTACCATTTATGGAATTGGTAATTTTACCGAGAAATCTCGATAAAATTACTGAACTTTCTCGGTAATTTTACTGGGCCTTAATCAAAACGCCAATATTTTTTATCGACTATGGTAGAATTACCGAGATAAAATGGCAAAGTTACCAGGAATTGATTACCAATAAAAGTGGTATTCTTACCTGAAGAAAACAGTAAAAATACCGGTTTTTAGGCAAGCTTACCAGTCTACCTTGGTAAAATTACCAATAATTGGTAAAAAAAAAGTGAGATGGTAAAGGTACCAACGGGTCTTGGTAAAAACGCCGAGAATTTTTTTTCAGTGAGGACAATTTTCTCGCGGGTTTCACTGATTTTGATGAAATAGCCGCGAGTGATAATGTTGTGACGTCTAAAACTCAAATATGCGAAGTGCGACCCATTTCCCTTCGCGGCAGAAGCTTCGAGTCAGCATCTACACTTTCTCACGAGCCCCAAAACGTGTATTTGCCATTTTATTGTATTTTCCGAGGGAAAAATCCTCCATTGCTGGGAAAAAATATCGTGTACTGACAGGGGCGTAGAGAATAAAAGGAGGTGTTTGCATTTCGGGCATCTTGGAATTTTTTTGATGACGTAGGTCGGAACCGCGACTTTTATCATCGATTTTCTTGGAAATGGTGTAGTTTATGGCAAAAGGGCATTCTACATAAAGTGTTTGAAATTATATCATGAGTTGATTTAAGCAAAAAAAATCGGACGTTATGGTCCGTTTTTAGTGTATTTTCCGAGGAAAATACACTATTTTTATACTTCGAATTCCGGATTTTGCTGACCAGGTTGTACCGACCTACGTCACAGGGTACACAATCCTCAAGATGCAAACACCTCCTTTTTTTTTCTCTATGATGCAGTAGTTTCCTGGTGGGTACTTGGCCCTCCACGTTTTCACACAGCTCCTTAATTTTCAGGGAAAAAGTTTTTTTCAAATNGGGGGGGGGGGGGGGGGTACTGTGGTCCCCTTGAGAAGTACTTATGGAAACAATTTCATAGAAGAAAAAAACCTTATGATGACCCATGCCCATGGAACACGCTCCTGCAGTCCGGCGCGCGGCGGTTTAACCTTGGATCACCCTGTACACGTTCAATAGTTGCCAAATTTTCTCCGATCAAATTTTACTTTCTGAGAAAAATTGTGTATATTTTTCCTTGAAATATCCAGATATTTAGATCAAATTGTGAATTACATTCTCTGAAAACCTGGAGGAAAAAAATTGAATGGTTTATGGAAAATTCATATTTTTTCGCAGATAAGAGAAAGTCGGCATGCTTATCTGCCGTTCTTTTTTATCACGACGAAATCGGCGTGTCATCATTTGATTGATTCGACGTAAAAATGGACATATTTTCAGGTTTTGAAATGCACCGATTCAAACGTAGTAATTTAAACTGTAGGTAATTGTGAAAGTTACACGGGAATGGTTAAAATTTGAAAAACACTGAGGCTTATAGCAGAGGAGAGAGTGCCTTGCACCCAGGTATATGAGTATTTAAATAGGTAGAGATAAACTTCATGGTTACAAAGAAAGCCAAGAGACCAAGTGACCAGGAGCTTGGCACTTCTTTACAATGGTCATTGACAATTCATCACTTTCCGGCCAAAATATCACAAGCGCCATTTTTGTCGAAATTGAGTTATGAATAGTTTCGAAACAACGAGACGCATTTAAGTACATACGAAAATAATAATTTTCTTTTGAACAACAATTTAGAAATATAAATAAAAATCGATTCAAGTTAATTAATTTTTGTATCAGAGGCGTCATGTGGGAGAGAAGTATCACAAGCGCCAAGTTCGGCAACCGCCCACCTTTCTGCTTATTTACTTACAATTTTTGTTTCAGCAACCCTCGGAATGACTCGAAGCTACATTATTTTTGTGCGTAAATGCGTCTTGTTATTTCGAACATAACATTTTTCTGAATAAAAATAAATAAGTAAGTAAATATGGAAAATACTCCGTTGAAGTTGATGAATTTCTTTATCACAGACGCCATATAAGAGCAAAGTATCACAAGCGCCAAGTTGAATAATTACTCATTTTTGGGATTGTTTTATAATTTCAGTATCAACAACACTAGGAATGACCTGGAACAATTTGTCACTTTCCGGCTGGAGTATCACAATTATTCAGAAATGCCATTTTTATCTAAATTGAGTTATGGTTGGTTTGGAATTAATAAGATGCATTTACTTACATGCGAAAATAATAATTTTTTTTAGATTAAAAATGAATAGGTAGATATAGAAAAAACACTGTTAAATTTGATGAGCTTCTGTATTATAAGCGTCAATTTTCAAAGAAAAAAATGTTTTTTAAAGATTCCTTATTGAAATTCAAGGCAGGAAGTTGTGCTGGATCAGTATTCCAAGTTTCAAGCCGAAACTCCGTGTTCTGCAGTCGCAAATCAGCTTTTTGTGTCTCCTGATAAGTTTGCGAAGTGGTGCTTGTAATGCTTTGGCCAGAAGGTGACAAATTCTCAAGGATGTTAGTTTGTCCCCCAACCAATTGACACCACCAACACTAATATTATAAACCTCTCAAACACACATTCATGGAGATACAGCAGTTCGGCATTTCAAAATTTCATGAACATTATAATCTGCGAGAGCTACAGCAAGGATTCATGTGCTCGAAAGTTTCCAACTAGGCAGGAGAAAAAATAACATGTGGTGAATCCTAGTGTGTCAAGATTAATTTAGCATCTCGACGGTGAAAGTCGGCAATCACATAACTCGATTTGCAACGTCGCAGACTTCCTGTCATACTTTAGTCTTTAAACGGAAAACTACTCAATGGTAATTCCTTAAAACTGCCGTGATTTTTCTTCTATGTGCGAGGAAAATTCTGCAAAAACTGCAAGGAATCATGTCCATTTGTTCTCCTTTAAAAAAATAACATAGTTGCGGAGATTTTCAGACACCGCAAACGAGTTATGTGATTGCCGACCTGCACCGTCGATCTGTAACTATTCATTATGTGAAGATTCGTTTGCATTATTTAGCATTAAATCTTCCGTACATAAGTAGACATCGTCCAATGCTGATTCCACTCATGTGTACTTGAGGTGAACGTGATCAAGCTTCACAAACCTTTACTCCCGTTACGTAGATTATCCAAACGTCCAGGATCATTCGCCATGAAACACATTACTACACCACCGTTTTCATTGCTCACAGCACCAATGGATATTCACAAAGTAAACACGTACAAATTGATTTGAGGAAAAATAGACGAACATATTTTAGAGAGAATAGGGATACTTTACAATACCGTCTTACGAGGTAACGCTCAGGAGCCAAACAAGGGCTCCAGACCGTTGAGGAACTAGCGAATTAGAACCCTTTTTAGCTTAACTGCACGCGGAATTTTCCTCTTACTTTTTCTTTTGAGGATTGAAAATCTTAAATGATTTTCATTTTGGAAAAATAAAAAATGTAAACATGTAAGTACCTCATGTAAACACAAACAAGGCCGCGGAAATTTAAGGTTAACCATGGTTAACATAACACCGTGATACCGAACTAAACCGGCAATACTTGCTATTAATCGAACAGCAGGTTTTTCAGGATTAAAAAAGAAGCCGTAATCACATCACTGAGTGCATGAAATTAACCAAATTTAAAATGAGAAATTCTAAAACGTAATCCAGCGATTTCCAGCGACTCGGCGTAGCGATTTTCAGTTCTGCGAAAACACTGAGAACCGTGAGAACGGATGAAAACAAAACAGACTGGCCGAGATCTCCGGATGAGCAACAGTGAACGGCTGATCAACGGCGCTGTCGGCGCGGAAAAAAACCAATTTTTTAGCTCAAGGTATTGGCTCGCACCCAAACGAATGCTTGATTGCTTTCCTTTTCTTGCACGAGTTTATACAGTGGAATATAATTTTTAAAGATCCAGCGAGTATGAGCTTTCTGGCTGATATCAATCTACTATCCAACCAAATCCTCAACGGAATGAACGTTTTTCAAAGCGCCTTGTAATCTGGAGCGATAACTATTCGATCACGGCAGTCGTGGGGTTGCCTACTCATTCCTTTGAAGGCAATTCGTAGGCGCTTAGTGCGGAACCTTGTTGGAGCGTGGAAAGCCATTCAACTCACGAAAACCAAAAGGGTAGAACCCTCAGGAAGATGAATGTCAATAACCTAAGTGTAAACCCACGTATATCCGTTTGAGACGTTGCAGACTTCCTGTCATACTTCATTTTTTATTCGGAAAACTAGCTGAAGTAATTCCTTGAAAACATTCTCGATTTATCTTCTTGGTCAGTAGTATAGTCTTTAAATATTTCAAGCGACAAAATTGGTTTCTTTTTCTCCGAAAATTAAAATAAGAGCGAAAATTTTAAAGCATCGCAATGGATATACGTGGTTTCGCACGCTGGCTATCTATGTACCTATAGGCAGCCCCACCACAGCTGTGTATAAACATTTATGTCTGGAATGATGCAGTAGCATCGAGAAAAAAAAGGAGGTGTTTGCATTTCGGGCATCTTGGAATTTTTTGATGACTTGATGACGTAGGTGGGTACAGCTGGGTACAGCGACGTGTCCCCTTCACGCTGTACCCACCTACGTCATCAAGTCATCAAAAAATTCCAAGATGCCCGAAATGCAAACACCTCCTTTTTTTTCTCTATGATGCAGTAGTTTCCTGGTGGGTACTTGGCCCTCCACGTTTTCACACAGCTCCTTAATTTTCAGGGAAAAAGTTTTTTTCAAATCAAACAAAAAAAAAATGTTCTAAAGAATGACGGAGAGAGGAATGGTTAAAAATGTAAAATTTCATGGGGAAAGAGGCCAATACAACAAAAAATCTCGTAAGACGTCCTTAAACTGAGAAAATCTCCCTCATAACTGGCTCAACTTCCAATGAGCAGGGAAGGTGCATAGAGAAAAAAAAGAGGTGTTTGCATCTTGAGGTTTGTTTACCATGACGTAGGTCGGTACAACCTGGCCAGCGAAATCCGGAATTCGAAGTATGAAAATCTGACCATAATTTCCCATTTTTTTGCTTAAATCAACTCATGATATAAGTTCAAGCACTCTTTATAGAATGACTTTTTCCCATAAATTACACCATTTCCAAGAAAATCGATGATAAACGTCGCTGTACCGACCTACGTCATCAAAAAAATTCCAAGATGCCCGAAATGCAAACACCTCCTTTTTTTCTCTATAGGAAAGGTGTTTTCTTCCCCTCCTCGCCCTTCTCGGAGGACTCGCTTCACCCCTGTCGAGTTGAGGAAAAAACACCATATGAATTTTCGGAAATTGCCAAATTCCTTTTGATAAAATACGAATTTAGTAGGAAACTTGTATCAAATTTATTTGCCAATGTTTTGGAGAATTTCTATTGAAACTGGATTTAGAAAATCTGAAGCCTTCAGAAGATATGGAGTGCATTTAGCAAAAAGGAACCATGAGCATTGCAATGTTGCTAAGATTGTGCAACTTCTTTTATCTTGGAAGAAAAACCTGATTATCCATTGACAGTTTCTATTTTACTCGCTGAAAACAGACTGTGAATCTAAGACAAAAATTACCAAGTAAATTTCATATTTTTTCATGATTTCGGTTATATTACTGCAAAGGATGAATTTGCACAATCAATCATCATTGCAATGCTTCTGGTTCCTTTTTGCAAAATGCAATCCATATATTCATAATTTTTTTCAGAAATAAATATTTTGTCGGGGGTATTTGGCAACATACCTACAAATTCTTAGAAAGGCGTTTCACCGCAGCACGGCTGATGAAAAGGCGAAAATGAAGGGTATGATATAAGGTTTGAAATCTCAACTCAAAACTCAAAACAATGGTGTTGGCGGTGGCATAATATCTTTCTTGTTAGGAGTTATGAAACACATCGGTAAAAGGAGAGAATAAGTTAAATATTTTCAATCGAAACATGATTGCACAAGAATTAAAACGTCGCTATATAATAATTATTACATACAGAAAGATGAGGAAAAAATGCAATGACGCAATGAGAGATCCGTTCAAAATTTTATTATTCAATGTAGTACAACGAGACGTTACACTACAGATTCAAAAGAAAAAAACGCAGGTATAAAATAATAGTAAAACAAGGCTGAAAAACAGACTCATTCTAAAATATTCTTAATTTCAAAAACATGGGTATTTTGGGTTGGTTCTCAAAAAAAAAAAAAAAAAAAAACTCTAAGCACTTCCATGTAGCACGTGGGGTGGGTGTTAGACTAGTTGGACATACCTAATCTCTCTGAAACAGATTATATAAAACCAAATTATTGTAAAGAACAAAAAAATTGACAATTACCTGAATGAATAAAAAAAAAAATGTGATAATTCATAATCTTACATTTAACTGTTGCAATACATACATACCAATGGCTGAATTATGAAAAGCAAATCCGTAAATGCGCTCGAACGCGAGACTCATATTCTGGGCTGTATAAATTTCCTTCAATTGAAAATATATGCAACCTGCTACGAGTATTCATGTGTTCCTTCCAAGATACTGCGTTTGATAGTAGCCAGTGGCTGACCAAGACCATTCCTGGACGCTGCTCGTGATCTCGCTGAAAGAATTGGTTGGACGCTGCTCGTGATCTCGCTGAAAGAATTGGTGCACTGACGTGTGGTACCGTGCTAAAGGAACAAGACCGTAAGACATTCGAAGGTTGCCTTTCCTCCAATAAAATTCTCATTTTTCAGGGGAGTGCTCGTTTTAGTTTACTTCCCCTCAGCGAAAGAGGAAAAATAATTTGAAACGGGTTTCACGCGTTTTTCGATGGTAAATTTCAAAATTTCCGCTCATGGTTTAATAAAATGCCCTAAAACCAGATTCTCATGATTACTTGTTTACTCATTTTATAATATTCCCAGAAAATTTCAAAGAGAGACGTATTTAAGTTAGTGCCCTGTAAGAAAGGAAACAACAAGTCGGAGATTTTAAAACGTTGCAGAGGAAAACATACTTTTCAACTTTACTATATCAAGCTACAAAATAAGTCTGGCTGGCCTGCCACGTGCCGTGATAGTGAAGAGAGCAGTAAGTGTCACATTTTCGGAATCGAGTTTCCTTCAAAATTCGTCTAAAGTCTTTTAGATGAAATCACTGAAATTGCTAAAACAGCGAAATTCATATTAATTATATCAAAACGAGCAGGGCCAGATTTACCTACTTGCCGCCCATGGGCCGCTAGTATTTTGCCGCCCCCTTCTCATTCGTTTTGAAACATCAATGAAAACCATCAAATGAACGTGCCAGCGGGGGAGGGGTGCATAAGACGCGTTTACTGGTGTTGAAAACATTTTTTGGAAAAGCCCTGTCAACACTACTAACAAAAGTTCACGGAACGTTGCGCGAAAGTTTAAGTTTCGTAAACCTATCTCTGTGTGGACAAGGTCTTCCATTCATAATAAATGAACGAAAAAATTATGAAAGAACAAACATAAATGTGGATTAATGATTTTAACTTCCGCCGCCGTGCCTCGCAGACCGCACTGTGTTTGACGCAATGCGTGAAGTATTCATGCAGTCTTGTAGGCGCTATGCGTCTCACGCTGATCGCACTGTGTTTGCCGTAATGCGTGAGGTATTCATGCACTCTTGTAGGCGCTGTCCGTATCACACTGTTCGCAATGACCGCACTGTGTTTGATGCAATGCGTGAAGTATTCGTGTAGTCTTGTAAGCGCTAATATATATCACATGCCGAGGGCTTCTCCTTTTCATCTCAAGTCCTCGTCATCATTTCTCTCTAGGTAAGTCGTGCCGTTCCAGGCCAAATTGCGCGTTTGGTTTCTCTCTTAACTCGACTAATTACTTAAAGGTGCTGCCTCTTATATCACTGAAAGACGACTGAAGTAGAAACTACTATACTCTCAGACAGGGGCGGACTGGTAGTCGAAAAGTTAGGAGGAGACTTAAATGCAAGGGCCCCTCCTGTCGTTCGGGAGCCCCTCTAAGAAGGCCCGGGGGCCCTCCCCCGGTGAATTTTGAAAATTTCAAACTTTTTAAACACGTAGGCATTATTGGAGTTGGATTCTACAGTACTTGAACTTCAAAATAACCCATTCTCAGGATTCATCAGGGGTCCCTTCATCACAAATGCTTAAGGCGACCTTCCATGTCTCTCAGGGACAAATTTTCAAGGAATTCGGGGCCTTTTAGTGATTAAAAAGGATGAGAAAATTACAACATTACGGGGAAAAAACGATGACTCCAAAAAAAGTCGCCGCGGGGGCCCCTTCGGAACCTCCGCGGCAAATTGTTAGGGGGCGATCGCCTCCCCGCCCCCATGGCTAGTCCGCCCCTGGACAGGATAAAGCCGAAAAACCAAGCGGGGACGCTACTTCAATATTAAACTTCCATCGCCTTGCTAAGGCGCAGGGATACAACTATTTGAACTCTCCGAAACGCGTGAGGTATCACGCCTCAATTGAAGGCGT